TTTCTCCCAAATCCTCCTAAATAGAATGTGGAGCATGTTTCCAGTTGCTTCTATGTCTGACTTCAGAGCTTCAGCTTGAATACTGTTAGGTCCTGCTGCTTTCCTACACTTGATTTGTCTGATGGCTGTCCTGATTCCTTCGATGGTTGGTGGAGTGGCATCTACAGGAAGGTCTTTAGGTGCTGCTTTAAGGCTCAGTGAATTCAGTGGTGTCGGCCTATTAAAGAGTTCCTCAAAATGTTCCACTTACATCATTCTCTGCTTTTTAATTTCAGTGATTGGTCTGCCTTCTTTGATCGCTCTCTTTGTTCTACTATATTTCCCTACAAGCTTTTTGTCGTGTCATATAGTTGTTTCATATTTCCTTCTCTTGTGGCCTGGCTCATCCTGACACGTTGAAGTTAGTGCTTCTCTGATCCCTTCCCAGTTGTTCTCTATAGCAATATCTTTTTCTTCCAGCAAATCCTGTAAGTCTTGAAACCTATTGTTGTGAGTTGTCTTAAATTCGGTGAGTTTGTCAGTATCTCAAATGAAGGCCGCATTGAACCATTATAATGCTGTTTCTCCAGTTGTCCAATGCTTCATTAGCTTCAGTTTCATCTTAGTAACCACCAAGTGGTGATCCAAAGATATGTCAGCTCCCCTCCTGGTTCTCACGTCCTCCACTGACGTTGTGAATTTTTTACTGATGTGGTTATGATAAATCTGGTTCTGTGTAATGTGGTCCGCTGATACCCATGTAACTTTGTGTATGTGTTTGTGTGGAAATATCGCGCCGCCTATAACCATTTTGTTGAATTCACATAGATTTGCGAATTTCTCACCATTCTCGCTCTTTTCTCCCAATCCATTTCATCCCATGATATCTTCATACCCGGTGTTTTTCATTTCGACTTTGGCGTTTAGATTTCCCATCAGGATGGTAATGTCATTCACTAAGCACTTCGTTATAATCGATTATAGCCTCTTGTAAAAGTGATCTTTATCGTCGTTGTCACTTTCATTGGTGTGTGCGTAACATTCATTGCGATTCCCTCCTTCTTTGTTTTGAAAGATGCTTTGATGATCCTGGGTCAACGAGATTCCCATCTTACGAATGCATTTCGTGCTCCTTCGCACGACATCAGAGCAACTCCAAGAGTGTGTGGAGCATTTTCCTCTTCACGATCAGAGTACTAAAACACCTTTATCAGTCTTTAGTCTTCAGTAATAAGGATAATAGGTCTATCGGCCTATATTAATCCCTGCAGTTTGTAATACTGTATAGAATTCCAGTAATTCACCACTCGGTGCAAGAAACGAAACTCCAGGAGTAAACGATTTGATCTCGGTTCTTGAACTTTCTTCGAATGTCCTCTTAAATGATCGGTCCTAGACGGAAGTAAAAGATAAGACATTAATACCAAGGTTATCGTTCAGTATGCGATAAGGCAATATTAGATCACCCCGTATTCTACAGTAAGATAACGGAAATAAGTTAAGTTGTCTCAGTCTGTCTTCATAAGATAGGCCAGATAGACCTTAGAGCATCTTAGTACCTTGTCGTTGGACTCTTTCCAGCATATCTGCTTCATACTTGAAACAAAAACTCGCTGCTTGAATCCCATATTTTAAATGTAGTCACGCGCAAATCAGGTATAATAATCTAGACATTTTATCATCTAAATACTGGAAAGACATACGAATAGACCATAATACCCTATAGCCATTCGATTCTAACCTTTTCTGTTCAGCTTGAGTTCAACTGACATACAACACTTCAAAGACTAGCTGGTCACACAGGAAAAAGATGAAGTGTAGGAGGGACTTGATATTCGGACAGAACGGTATACATAGTCATGAAAGCATGAAATTCAAGCACGCAGAAAATTAGTTAACTAGACGTAACAGCAGCCCGTCAGAAAAATGTCATAGTTTATACGGTAAACTGAATCGGTAAAATACCTTTCAAGGTTACTGTCCTTGGTATGACTTGGACATTATTCACAAAAAAACTGAGTAATTTTGTGATCATTTCTCACATAATTTACATCGTTTGATGGATTAGTAAATCTCGAGTGGAAATTACATCTAGTTAATACCTACACTGTTATCTAAAATTATTTCACTTATTATTTTCCCAATTTTCATTGAACATACGATCTAATTATTATGATTTGAACACTTATAAACACAAGGGGTAAGACTATAATTTATGGATGACCTTCGAGCGACGCTTAAGTGACCTTGAAAGTGTCCACCTAATAACTAGGATTAAATAACGGTTATAAACCAGTGTGAGGAATTAGAATTATGATTTACTGTTGATGATTAAGGTTAGGAATTAGATTTAGGGTTTTTATCACGAACTGACATCAATTAAAATGCCAAAACTCTATTTAACAAAATGGATGAGTGAATTGCGCGCCGAAATTCGAGACTTCTTATCTTATACCTGACTGGCATTATAGTCTCGCCACATAAACATACATAATTTACAAATAATAATATTCTGTCGTTTTAAAAGATGCATTCATCATAAACTTCGTTGTTTCATTTAAATATTAAATTGAATTGATAGTCGTAGAAACATACAAGAATTTGTTGAAAGTAATACTAGTTCTACTTATGTACTGGGGAATAGTTTTTTTTTAACACGGGTATTGTTGTTGACCTGTTTTCAAAACTTTTACGTTGTAACTGGTGTTAGGGGAATATTGCTGTAAATTTCCCACTAAATAAATCTTTCTGTTCAATCTCTTATTTTTAATGACTTTAATACTTAGTTGTGTTTTTTTTTTTCCGTCCTGTTTGTTTAATTTCTTAAGGTGAACAGCTTGCTAAATTTCTGTCTACTTAAGTAGATTTATATATTTCTTTTAGACAAAGAATGAGTTAATTTATAAGACCAATATCTTACACAACTCTGTGGGAAATCAGATTTCTTGTATACAATCGCAAATTGCTAAATTTTAAGGTAACTGTAAAAAAATTTTTTTGACATTAGATTTGTAGGTATTAAAATATTTTCATTTCGGCATCAATGTTGGTATTTTAAAACACTATCTCCAACGATTTCTGTACATCTCACTTTTAATGGACAATTCAGATTCAACGATGATTTGCATAAAGAAACTTGTGTCATTGCTTTAAGATCCCCACTAAGTCCTCTCAGCGAAATATTTCGTTTTTAATCTAGGGAATACTGTTTAATTGACAATTCGTAATTTTCATTTCTGTAGGCGATATTTAGATGATGCTTTCAATATTTTTGATGAGACGAATGTTCATAATAAAATACTGCAGACGTTCAGTATGTTCCGCTAATCGGTCACATTCACTCTATGGTCAGAGACAACCTCAGAATTTTACTTCCTTGATGCTTCATTCAGGAGAAAACCGAACGGTTCTTTACAAAGAATGGTTCATACAAACGCAACATAGGATGGGAAATATAAGAACTTCCAATGTTGGGTTCCACTGAGTAGAAAGTGAAATTTGTTACATTTCCTATCCTCGAGAATAAGTAGGTCTGCAGAGAGCACACAACTGGAGTAAAATAGGGTGGGACCCAAAAAGGTCAATGAAAAATTGATTTCCTCTAAGGTTCATTGACAGAAACCTGGAGCTTAGACGCTTAACTGAAAGAACTCACTTATTGAGGAAGATTTTGTTCTAGGACATTGGATTTGGAGGAGGTAAAGTCTAGGAGATCTTACAAAATCAGTCGTCCAAATTCCTTAAGAAGACCTTTTATTTTGTTGGAATACGAACTGTATTCTTCAGCAGATGTCCTATACTAGGATGCCTCGAGGATAATTTGTCGCTTCGGGCCACCACACTGTATGTCCATCGTTTTGTTTACTCTTGTGGAGCTTGTAATACTGGTAGCTCAAAGTGTGTCCATTCCAAACCCTTTACCCAGGGACTGTCCAGCACGGTTATCGAAGGGTGAATAAAAATCAGCCAATAGCTTAACTGCTGAACATCTAGTCATCTACCTCCACCAGAACCCCCAGTAAAAATTATTCACAAAGTAGGGCGGATTGTTTTGAAAGGAAGCTGAGTAAGAAACTCATAAATAACTTGTGCTTTGGGGATTCGTCAGCTCACAAATGATCTTGGTGTTTAGAAGACGTATATTTAATTCGTTAGTTTACCATGGTCCTGGCATACGAATTGCTATTTTGCTGATAATTTTTGGACGTGGCTGTTTTTTCATTTTTCTTTTCCCGTATTCTTCAAGTGGACAATAATCTTTTAAATATCAGTTCTATGTCTTGTTTAGACACTTGTTCGCTCATATTTTTATTTTCCTTATAATCATCAAGTGGGTAATCTTCAATTCTTCGCTTCCATTTTTTAATTTATTTTTGTTACCCTTTGAGTATTGCCTAACTTTAAATTCTAACTGACTTTTAGTACCTCTGTTAATGACACAGTAATTCAATATTTTATTATAGACCACTGCATGTAAAAACAACCGTAAGTACGATTAAGCAGCTCTAGAAAATTATATCTTAAAGAACATTTTTCCTAGTGAACGTCTTCATACATTGGTATTTTTGGTAATGCTAAGTACTCTTATCTGATTAGTTCAATAGTGAAGAGTTCGTTGTAATTATGGACACTTTTACTTGAGATAGGCAAATTTTAATGCTGTCTAGAATGAGAAAGAAATTTTCTTCAGTAAATGATCCAGTACAAAAACATCAACATTTTCATAAACATCCATTTAAGCTACAAATCTCTTCTATCATTTTAATACATTAGCTTAACTAACTTGAAATTAAAGAACTGATACGACTTGATCATTGAAACCACAGTATATGATTAAAGGTTCAAATCTGCCTCATCAATAGTCGAAAGTTCTGGATATTAATCACAAAGTTATAACCAAGCTAGGACAATTAAAAATAGTGTTGATGTAAATTATTATATCCAAGCTCACATCGGAATGACTTAAACTATTGGGACACATAACTGAAACAATAAATTCCCGGACAAAATAAAACACAATTCAGGATACTTTCTTTTCTATTCTCTTCATTAAAATGATGATAACAGTTTTGATAAGACTAAATTGATTATTTTATTACCGGATACACAATTAATATTTAAAGGTTCATACTTTGATCGTATTAACAATAATCTAATCAATAAAATGAATTTCTGAATAGTTAAACAATCACAATTTTATAATTACGGTCATTAACAGTGAATATTAATGAAGATAGTTAAATAAACTACAGAATAAGTAGAATGAAACATCTAAAATAAAAGGGTTGTATGAATTTGCTTGAAAAAAAAGAGAAAACAAAATTGACGGATAATCAGAAAGACAGCTGAAACTAAAAAGAAAAAGAAAAGGAAATTAATTTGTAAATTCTACGGTACATGAAATGTATATGTTAATCTTAGTCAAGGTTTAATGTCGAAGAATCTCACCTCTTTTGTTTGTTTGCTTGTTTTTCTTCTCAAATTAAATAGAAAGGTATATAGATTGTAGGTATTTATTTGTAAACTATAATAATGATCATACACTCACAACTACAATTATCTTTCAGTTAAATAGTTTCTCAATCATTCAATCTTATCAATTTTAAAAGGAGTTGGACAGTTTTTATAGAAGTTTGTCTATCAAATCATTTAATGTTATATATGTGATAAATCAATATACATGCCCAACTGATAATGAGAGTTAAGATGGGTTTTATTTATTCTTTTTTTTAAAAATAAAATATCCAATTTTGAACTAATCCTAATGATTTTGACAATAGATTTTGTAAACTAAACATTTTTGTTGACGGGAAATAATAATAATAATAGTTTGTTTTGTTTCAACAAAAACAACAACAACAAAAAGAATGGTGAAATTCACTAAATCATTTTGATAGCTTCATGTGTAATTAGATATTAAATTATTATTATTTCAAAGTTCACCTGTTATTTATAAACAACAACAGCTTTCATGCCAGGTTCAGGAGGTGGTGCAGCTTGTTTAGCATGAGTTTCACAATACAATTGTTCTTTAATGTAGAAATATCCAATATTGCGTAAACCTATTCCACATTTACAACATTTAAGGCATTCAGGATGCATTGGGATACGACCTTGTACTTTAACAAAAACACCGCGTATAAAACCTCCACATGATCCACAATACATTGATGGTGGTGTTGTTGGTGATACTTGAGGTGCTGTACCATCAAGTTGATTACCTGTAGCATTAGACAATGTTCTTTCAAATGTTTGATTTCTATTTTTTTGATTATATAAACCCATAGGTGAATTATATGATGAGTGACTGATTTTTCTATAGCGTCCCTCACCAACTTTTGTTAGTACGTTTTCTCCAGGTGCCGGTGGTGATTGACCAAATGGAAGTGGTGAGATATTGTGTTTAACTCCGATAGATGATGAATCTTCATTTTTCGATGTAGCCTCTAAATTAACATGAGTCCCATATGCTTGGTGATTATTATGATTGCTATTTGGTGACATTTGAACAGATGAAACAATTTTAGGTTGCCAAATAGTTTGTCGACTAACTGGTTGTGGAGAAACTGGTTTCGGTGATCTACTTAACGAATGTTTTGGTGATGGGGAAAAATTATTTTGGTGTGTATATAAATTTACTATTTCATTACGTTGAACAAACAATTCTAAATCATTACTTGATCGTATGATCTCCATTTTTGCATCATCATGTCGCATCCATTTAGTTTCAGATTTATTAATTCGTATCACATGGTCACCAGCTCGAAGTCCACTGTAATCAGCTATACTTCCAGGATTCACATGTTGTATAGTTATAGAATGACCGAAGTCGGTACCACCTTCTAATCGAAAACCCCATGGAATAGATGTATCTTGACGAATTAAACGAATCGAACAGTGTTGAGAAGCCATTAAAAAGAAATTGAATCTTTATGAGAACATATAATAAATGTTTATAGCATAATTTGCTATTCAGTCTCTTCTAAAGTGAATGTCTTTTACATACAGTGGATAAGGGATGAAAACACACCTAATAATTCTTAAACAATCAAAATTATCACATAGATTAACTGTGTTGTAAGTGACTTAGATTGGTTCCTTATATAAAATACTATTGGTTTAAACAGATAAGTTTAGTGGGAATGATAGGACATAGCATATACATTTGCACATGAAACACATAACATGTTATACAAGACATGAATTGATACTGCCTAACAATTCATACTTTCTGCACTTTATTGATATTTTTTCTCTCACGCAAACTATTAGTTTATACTGATGATAAAATATATATTCACATTAGATAAAATAACCGTTTTTCATTGGGTAGAAATGAATTATTATTATTATTATTATTATTGAGGTACATTTAATAAAGATTAAAATTACCAGTCAAAATGAAGGGTACACTGAGAACAAACAGTTTATATGACAATCAACAGCAAATTAGTTATTATTTTAGAATTGATGAATTATGGCTAACAGTGGAACTCAGAAAGAGGATTTCATTCTATTTAGGACTCTCGAGATGGATGTACCTGAATCTAATTGTTAAAGTTTACACGAAAACTCAGACCTAGTGCTTATTGCTATTAACTTCAATGTGCTATTCGATAGGTTGGTGAGTTTAGATAGGCACTAGCTAGTTTATGGGTCCCAGATAGAACAAAACGTAAATCCTGGATTCAGTTACTAACTGAAATTTATCTGTTTTAAAAAGCTAATTATAAAGTGGCCATATTGAAGCGATTCTCATGGGATCACCAGCCGTGGTATACAGGAAGCCCTTTTCATTCTACTTAGAAGTTATAAAATAAGCATACATGTGTCTTCGACTTGATATTCATACTGAAACTCTAATCAGAGCTCATCAATCTTGGTTCCTTATATAAAATACTATTGGTTTAAACAGATAAGTTTAGTGGGAATGATAGGACATAGCATATACATTTGCACATGAAACACATAACATGTTATACAAGACATGAATTGATACTGCCTAACAATTCATACTTTCTGCACTTTATTGATATTTTTTCTCACACGCAAACTATTAGTTTATACTGATGATAAAATATATATTCACATTAGATAAAATAACCGTTTTTCATTGGGTAGAAATGAATTATTATTATTATTATTATTATTGAGGTACATTTAATAAAGATTAAAATTACCAGTCAAAATGAAGGGTACACTGAGAACAAACAGTTTATATGACAATCAACAGCAAATTAGTTATTATTTTAGAATTGATGAATTATGGCTAACAGTGGAACTCAGAAAGAGGATTTCATTCTATTTAGGACTCTCGAGATGGATGTACCTGAATCTAATTGTTAAAGTTTACACGAAAACTCAGACCTAGTGCTTATTGCTATTAACTTCAATGTGCTATTCGATAGGTTGGTGAGTTTAGATAGGCACTAGCTAGTTTATGGGTCCCAGATAGAACAAAACGTAAATCCTGGATTCAGTTACTAACTGAAATTTATCTGTTTTAAAAAGCTAATTATAAAGTGGCCATATTGAAGCGATTCTCATGGGATCACCAGCCGTGGTATACAGGAAGCCCTTTTCATTCTACTTAGAAGTTATAAAATAAGCATACATGTGTCTTCGACTTGATATTCATACTGAAACTCTAATCAGAGCTCATCAATCTGTAATGCAGCAAATAATCTTGAAGAGAACAAAAACAAAGACTGATGCAGAATAATATAAATTCATTTTATTTTCAGACGTGGTTTTGTGGATAATATAGTAATTTTAATAGTTGAGTTCATGAATCACTTGAAGCTAGACCACCATGGGAAACCTACAAGCACTGGATGACCGTTTCGTCCTGTTGTGGGACTCCTCAGAAGTGCTCATCCACCATCCTGCCACGCGAGATCCGAAAGTAGGACCTACCAGTGGAGTTCGACCGGGTCTGTTGTGAGATAGTAACTCACTGAAAACAACGGTGAACGGTGGCGCAATTTTGTAGATTGTTTGAGGTTAGATATTAACAACGTTGGATGCTGGTTCAGTGGTTTAATGGTTAAGCGCTCGCGCGCGAGACTGAAAGGTCCTGAGTTCAAATCTCGTGAGGCGGAATGGTGGATGAGCACCGCTGAGGAGTCCGACAACGGGATAAAACGGCCATCCAGTGCTTCCAGGTTTCCCATGGTGGTCTATTTTCAAGTGACTCATGGTCTCAACCATTAAAATAATTTTATTTTGTTAGGTCCTCATCAGCTGCATACAACCTATAATATTTTAAAATCAGTTATTATAGATATTGACGTATTCATAAATACGGTGATGAGTGATATGTTTATCATGATGTAGCAAAGATTCCATTAGTCATTAAGGTCATGACAACATTTGTATTTCAAATAAATAAATAAAATGTGGGATGGAAAGTTCCAGAACATCGAACTAGTGATTAGAAGTCATGGAGTTAATAAACATTAGATGATTATGTAATAAAATAACTGAAAACGGATTAATGACATTAAGGAAAGATATGAGTTAAAATTAGTCAATTCTAACGAATTGTATCATTTATTATTTCAACTCTTTCTTAACGTTTGAATACATCATTCTTATTTTTCATTTATAATTTTCATTCTAATTGACTTGTATTCTAGTTTATCATTTGTACATTGACTGTTCCGATATTTCGTTCTGAGTTTTTACGATAAAAACAAGTTTTTGATTTTATTTTCATTTATTTATGCCTGATATCCCTCGTAGAGCATAGACCTCCAACCAGGATAATAAAGAATAAATAATGAGATTCTAAATAAATAGCTGGTATTATTTTGTAGTTCATAGATGTAATGTCGGGTATGACATATATTTTTTATCATCTTTTCTGTTAAAATTTAGAGACTCTTTTCTGTATGCTAAAAGAAACAAACGAAATCAACGCATGAAATAGCTTCAATAGTCTTTCATTAATCCTAGTTGAATATTGTGAACTACTTTTCTTTATTCATAAATATTATACTATATGCATTAGATCAACTACTAGTTTGTAATCTGGACTAAGTTTTGCCGTTCGCTTTTACATTTCAGCATACTTGCTCAAAAGAAACTATCTGTAGCATGAGGAATAATCATGTTATGCTTGTCTTTCAAACAGGTGTATTCAAAACACCAGGTAGTCAATGTATAATAAAGTCAGATATAACAAATACCATATAGCTATATTCTTTCAAAGAAAAAAGATATATTACATTGAAAAATAATGTAATTTATATGGTTTCAGTGTTTCATTGAAAGATCATTAGGTGTAAAAGTATGATTCCAAAGGTAAAAGCCATGTGAAATTAATGGTTTTTGTTATCTTAAAATTATTTCATCTTTGTATGTTGTTATATATAGCCCGGCAAGTTTCAGAATCAGTTTTTTTGCTTTAAAAGTTTGACAGGGGTTAACAGAAAACTAGATATGTGCATTTAATTGATCTAAACTACAAATTAAACAGTTTCATCCGAAACACTCTAGACTAACAGTAATCATGAGTTAACTGATGATTAAATGTAATACGTACTCCTGAGGTTTTAGTGAGAAGTTATGGCTAATGGAGGTTAGATATATCGTATTACTATCAGAAATAGATAATAATAGCAAAATGTTATGAAGTGGTTGACGTTGGAAGAGCAAAGAATTGGACATCCACTAAGTAGTTTTAAACCAAGATCTATTTGCTAAACCTGTAGATTCAGGTTTTGATCCCTGGAGCAATCATTGATGTAGATATTTAGGAAGTCTTGGACGACGGTAATACTGTTGTCTAGTTTTTCTTTGTTTTCTAATTATTGTCTTGTTAAAGCCATTCAGTGATGTGTACTACAAATTGAATAGCTTCTATTATTTATCATTTCATTTACCGTTAAATTTATGTACAATGTATTGTAGACAAGTGTAACATCACTGAGTAATAAAGATGTTTTTGAGTATAATTACTGGCAGTGCACATATGATGTGCCATATCTGAAGTGAACAGTTTCATATTTCCTTATGAAACGTAAACATTAAACGGTAAGGATAAAACTTTTTTCAGGTAATTTATCAACTGAATACAAGTTTCTCAGTAGAAAAGCTTAATATACTTGTGAAAATGTGATTATTTCGAAGACGAGGAAAACATTTTCACACCTATACTACATCCATCATGTATCCTTAGAGAGTCGGACTTGAGTCAAACCTAACCGGGTCCTCTACCCTGCTAATTCTGCCAAGCCCGTTCCCTTGGTTGTGGTTTCACTAGATAGTAGATTGGGATAGTGGTAATCTCGTTAATCTATTCATATGCATCACTAATTAGATGACGAGGCATTTGGCTACCTTAAGATAGTCTAATAAATGCTTCTTATATCTTGCGTGCTTCTTGCCTACATTTTTTAGATAAACTATGGATTGATGATTTAGTATTGCATACCTTTTCAACTACGTTTATTAGAAGAAAAGTATTTAATTTCTAAAACTTTTGGGAAAAACCAAGAATATATATTGAAGACTAAACTAAGAATGGATTTTTGGAATGTTTAGTAAGACAGCTCTGACTTAAGTAGGAGTAGACAAATTTATAAGTTAGGCAAATATCAGTGATAAATAAAATTTATATTCAAATTTGAAAGAGGTTGAAAATGTTAGCTGTCGGTCTGTAAATCCATAACTGTAGTTTATAGCACTCACGAAAGGATGTAACGTTCACAGTTTTGATTCTGTACGCGGTCAGTTGTTCACATTGCTTTCATATCTTAGGTGAAGATGGAACAACTAATTAGTGTCTCCAGATAACTAAAATTTTCGCACTCTATAATGAATACCTTCAGAAATTTGCATTTCTTGACGAACGTTATTTTTTAAACCAAAGATGGATGGTGGCTAGCAGTGGAATCTGGGACGCGCGTTTCGTCCTATTTAGAACTCGTCAGCTGGATGTACTTGCGTTTTAGAGTTGATGTTCACTATGGGACTTGAACATCAATTTCAGTCCTAAACAACAATCGGAAGATACAGGCAAACACCATCAAGTAAATTAATTAATTTTT